TTTTTTTTTTTTTTTTTGCGGAACTGGGGGTTGAACTCAGACCCTTGCACTTGCCAGGGAAGCGCTTATTCCACTGAGCCATCTCCCCGGCCCCTGGAGAGCCATCTTAATTAACCTCTGATTTAAACTATGGGTGTAGGAGATTATAGAGTAAGCCATAAGAATGAGAGTTTTGATCGTAATGATCAGGGAAGAAAACATGGAGGCCCTTAAACCCTTTTACTTGTTAAACTATTGTTTTGGTAAACTTGTAAACTTGCAGCATGCAGATCTGGTTGAGTGATTCACACACTGAATTTATGACCTTGTGGAGTGTTGTGTTATAGACCATCAGTAGAAGGGAGAAGAATCTTGAGCAACTGGAATGGGAACATAGAAAGATTCCAACAGGGCTGAAGACTTTGACCTGTAAATTTATCTGAGCTTTGTTGCCATTAAAATGAGCCCTGGAGAGGTTGAAGAGAGGGTAGGGGAATGGGAAAAGTTGTACCATGTGCAGATACAATTTCTCCATGATGAATGTATCATGTATATCTAAAATGTACCTATAAAGTCTAATTAAAAAAATAAACACCCTACTTCCCACTTGTGAAGTCAGACTCTCCTTGCTGAAGGACCTGTAATGACCCCAGAAACACTTCTTGCAATGGATTGTAAATTTTCAAGACTCTCCTCTCTGTCTATCTCTGTCTTTCTGTCTCTGTCTCTGTCTGTCTGTCTCTCTCTGCCCCATGAGGCATTATTATACCAGACAAAATGAGGACATCTGTAATATATATCAATACAAACCTGAAAATATATATGGCTGTAGATTTTGAGGACATAGAATAAGGTGGAAGAATACAGTGAGGGATTAGGTTGGATTTGTTGATATGAGTGCACTAAACAGTGATGCTAGACATGTTGTTAGCTTGCTTGCGTGAGTGGCTGAAATCTAGACACAAAGTTAGCCTACCCTAAAGTTAAAATGCCTGAACTTTCTGACATATTTTGGACTGGATAGCTGTTTTATTTGGAGATGTACTGTGTCTTGCTTCAAGAGCAACTTTGAGTACTGGGCAAATATGGCAGTTTGTACACACCAGTCAGACAGGCAGAAACATCTCCAAACACTGCCCAGTGCTCCCAAGTAAGAATCCCTATGGTCAATGGAGGCATACAAAGGCATATATGGCAACATCTTGTTACAGATTTGTCATGTAAGTCCTTCTCACAGAAATCCCTATGTTCCTTGAGAGGTTTCATGAGGCATTCACAAGCCAAAATTTTGACAATTTATTGATGAGGGACACTGTAGTCGCTGAGAGTTCTGCAGTGACTCTTAGCAGACCAGGAATGAAAGAGGGAAATTAGGACACCAACATGGATACTTGAGCCAAGCATGATGGCACACGCCTATAATCTCAGCATTTGGGAGGCTGAGGAGGGTGGATCACTATGAGATGGAAGCCAGCCTGGACTACATAATGAGTTCAAGACCAGCCTGGACTACATATTGAGAGTGTTTCCAAACAACAACATAAAAACCAAAAATCCATAAAACACAAATAAATGTTGGTAATATATAAAAGTCCCCTAAAATATTTAGACCTTAAAGTTAAAATAGGGAAGTCTCCAAGAAGCCTCAAATGAAACCTATGATGTGAGAACTGAAATTTAATAGCTCACAAAGGCAGAGAACTAAACACACAGAGTTTATTTATGGAACTGAAGAGTGGACCCAAGGCCTGGAACATACTAAACACTGTACCACCATAGTGTGTATATATCCCCACTCCATTCATATTTAAAGATTTGAAATAGGATGTTGCTAAATTGCCCAACATGATCTCAAATGCTCCTCCCGCCTCAGGCTCCTCAGTAGCTGAGATTATAGGTGTGCATCATCTCACACTTTGCAAAAAGTTTAATGTTGAATGTGACTGGAGTCACAGTCAGCAGAGCCATCCACATTATGTATAGTGAACTACTTACTCAACACTACAAAGAGCAGCTCTCTTTCATTGGTTGTGAAGAAACACGTAATTCCTGGTTTGTACAAACACCTTTCAACCAACCTAAAAACTATGGTCAATGAGAAGGCCAGATAGGAGAATCAAAAAGAAACCATTATGGGCAGCTCTTATTTTGAAAACAAAGAAATTATTGTAATATACAAGAAATCTGACTGAACAAGGCTTAAGTCTTAACGTATAAGTGACATTTTCCGCTGTGGGAGGC